GTCTCAAAGCCTTCACCAGAAATCGTTGTGAAGTGTAGTGACTGTGTATTTTGGAGACAAACACAGATAGCGTCACAAGTAGCCAAAGACCTTTGCGGTTCATGAACGCAAGCGCTCTATTGCACGTGAGAGTAAACAGGAAGCCCTTTCGCTTCACCTCCAGAGGGGAGCTGGCTTCACCTTTTTTGCTAGGAATGAAAATTGTTCTTCATTAACAAAAGAAGGAAAAGTTCATGGCGACAAACACATCTGGATCTGGCTTCGTTTCTTGCCTGCTTTGAGTCAAAATGGGAATTTATGAAATTGACCAGAAATTGACCGGTTGAGTATCTGGAACTAATCAGCTTCACCTGCAAAGCCTTATGGCTGCTGCCTCAGGACATCCGTACTCAGGAAACCTCTGATTGCTGCCAATTACCTTCCTGCAGATAGACCGGAGCAATAGGGCTCATTAGCACGAGAGGGCTCGTGCTTTCTGCTCGTATAATTAAAGACAGTTTGAAATTCTGACGAGTGAACTTGTTAACCTGAAACACTAACTGAACAGCCTTTCAGCCTGGCTTGTTGGTAGGGCTCTCGCCTGAGTCGGAAGGTTGTGGGTTCAAACCCTACTTCGGGTTTTGGAATCACGTACAGTCGAGGCTGCCACTTCAGTGCAGTGCTGAGGGTGTGCTGCACAGTTGTAAGAACCATCCTTTGGATGAGACGTTAAATCGAGGTCCTGCGTGTCTTTTGTCAGTTGAGGTGAATGTTGAAAGATCCCATGGCTCTATTCGAAAAGTTCTTCAAAACTATTCAAAAAGAGAAGGTTATTTCCCCCAGTGCCCTGGCCAACACTCCCCCAAATAAAATTATTATTCACTTCATGTCTGTTTGTGGGACATTTCTGTGCACAAGTTGGCTGCCGCGATGCCCACAAAAAGCACAGTTTTTATATCGGTTTCCTCTCTTTAATGATTCACTGACCAGTTTGCCCACAAAAAAACACTTTGCACATATCCTGTGTAGTGCTTTGAGACATCCTCCCAATGTGAAAGGCACTAAATATCAAATGTAAAGTTGATTATTAAAAAAGCGCTTCACAAAATGTATTGTATAGTATTGACTGTGTATTTTCTGGGTGAAACCCGGCAGCCAATTCAGCACAGCAGTGTCCCACAAATAGTCGTGGATTCAGTGACCGCATTTTTTTTTAAAAAGGGATTATTACCCCCGGAAAGTGAGCTGCTACTCGATTAACAACCGGGCTCCTACTTACTGCTAGGTAAACATAGGTGTGTGGAGTAAGGAAACTTGCCTAAGGATTAGCCCTGCCCAGGAATCGAACCCGGGTCGTCTAGCTTGTGAGGCGAGTGCTCTAACCAATACGCTACAGAATATAAGACAATCAGTAAAGGAATTATAGGGGTTAATTCAAAAAATAATAGTCGTAGGTAGTATTTGGTATTTGAACAAGTGAATGAACAAGTGAATGAACAAGTGAATGAACAAGTGAACACTTTGAACAAGTGAATGAAAATCAAAAGATTATTGATCAAACCATTGTTGAAGAACTTGTCAATTGTTTTACAAGTGAATTACATCCTCACATCAAAAAGAGGAATATTGTTGAAGTGTTTGGTTTAGAGACAGCGCAGTGGGATTAAACTAGGTCATTCATGTGGCAAAAAGTCCAGGGCAGATGTGATGGGCTGAGTGGGTTGTTGCTGTATTGTCTCATTCTAAGATTCTGAGTTCTGTTGCTGAGTCTGTTATTCCAGTTGGTATTTGAGCAATGATTCCCATAAAGATTTCACAACATCTACTGTGTGATACCTGGAAACCTTCAACAGCTGCCTTTTTGTGCAGAAACACTCATAGGAAGTTCATAACCACAGAAAGAGCTATTTACTTCCCATGTTTCATTAACTTTCAGTCTTGCAAGGCAACGTCTTGGAGGAGACCTCATAGAGACATATAAAATTTTGAATGGGATTGAAAAAGTAAACCTAGAACAATACTTTCACATGCACCAGTAGAACAAGAGGACGTAGGTTTAGAGTTGCAAAGCGCAAGTTCAGGACAGACACCAGAAAGTGTTTCTTTACCCAGAGGGTAATTAACAACTGAACCAGATTACCAGGAAGGCGGGGGGTTGGGGGGGGCTTGAGGTGAAGTCACTGGGACTCATTCAGCGAGAGAACCTGGGTTTGATTGCCGGCAGGGCGAAATGTTGGGCAAGTTTCCTTACTCCACACGCCTCTGTTTACCTGGCAGTAGGTAGGAACCCGGTTGTTAGTCAATAGGCGGATCGCATTTCCAGGGGTAATAATAACTTTTAAAAAATTATAATAATGATTTAGTCACTCAATCCATGACTGTTTGTGGGACGCTGCAATTGGCTGATGCATTTCGCCCACAAAACATACAGTCACTACACTTTACAGTATATTCTGTGAAGCGCTTTGAGACGTCTAGAAGACATGATAAGGCGCTATGTAAAATGCAAGGATTATTATTATTATTATTTACAAAACAGCTTAGTCCTGTGAAGGGAGACTGGTAAAGTGGCTATTCCAGGATGAGATCAAATGGGCCAAAGGACCTTCTTTGTCCAAATCAATCTCGTGATTTTGTGAATTCTTATAGAACTGGATAGCAGACACCTCCTCAATAAAAAAGAGAATTAGATGTTAATTGATAGCAAAAACTTCACTCATTGTTCGTGGACAATGTGCTTGACGTGGACAGATAGAAATGACGGTCCAGAGTCAGGCTATTTGGCTCAATGAGTCTAACGCGAGGGCCTGTTACTCCACTGGAGCGATATCCTCTATTCGCAATCTCCTGCCTTTTCTCCGAATCCTTTTACAATGTTTCTCTTCAAGGATTTTTCTAACTGACGTTTAATTGTTATACCTTTCGATTTTAAGAGCCATTTCCACATTCAAATAAGACAAACAAAGTCTCCTAACCCCCTCTTTAACTCTTCCAGTTCTGGGCTTGAGCTAATTAATGTGCCCTTCTTAACCAGTAGGATAATCGTTCATTATTTTATCCTCCTAAAATCCTTCTAGAGTTTTGAAGATCATTATTCGATCCCCTCGGAACCTTTTCTGACCTGGTGAAAAACACTCTAGTTTATCAGGACGCGTTAACTTCGAAAGACTGCAGATGACAAGGTCCTTCGAGACCTGGTCTGTTTCAGAGAACACAGAATAAATAAATGGGTCAACTTGGTTCAATCTGTGGTCCCACCTCTGGGTCAGAAGGTTGAGCTCACAGTCTAGGGTCTAGGCTGACACTCACGGGAACACTACATTATCACATGCGCTAAGATAAGACGTTAAACTGAAATCCCCATCTGCCTTTTCATGTGGATGTTGCACTTATTTAAGAAGAGTGGAGAGAGTCTCCTCGGTGTTCCTGACCGATAATCCTCCATTGGAATTGGCTGTTCACTTTATGGCTGTTTGTGGGACATGGCTGTGCGCAAATTGGCTGCCTTGTTCACTTACAAAATAAACAGTCTTTACGCTTAACGACAATCACAGCGGAAGTCGCTTTAACCAGACGCCGGTTAACCCCGGACACCGGGTAAATCGGACAAAAAGCCCGGCACCGATGCCTGAAAGGGCGGTGGAGGCCGATTCAATAACTACTTTTAAAAACGCGGTGGACGGGTATTTGAGGAGGACGGGTTTGCAGGTTATTGGGAAAGGGCCGGGGAGTGGGATTGGTCTATTTAAAGAGCCAGAACAGACTCGATGGGCTGAATGGCCTCTTTTTGTGCTCTATGATTCTATGATTTATATTCTCAGCTGTTTTAAATATGCCGGTTAATCCGGACAAAATACCACGCTGGTCGCCACTGAGTCCACTCACTCGCCACAATGGGAGGGAGGAGTAAAATTGCGACTGATTGACAGCGGACTCCAGCCACTCACAAGTGGCTCCAGGCTGAACAGCAGTGAGGGGGCAGAGAAACAAGGGAGGAAATGGGAGGAGTCAATTTGATTGACAGCTGAGCAGTTGGTGAATGGTAGAGCCTATCCATTCACAAGCGTCTTCCGGCTGTCAATCATCTCGGAGCCACCGCCAATTGGTCCCCTTCTCGTCCATTGGGAATGGAAGGGAGGAGGCGCCACTGCCGGTCCTCAACTGGCCGGGAAGAGGTAAGGGAACTTTGGATAACCTCGGACGCCGCTTAAGACAGACAGACAAAGTCCTGTAGCTCAGTGGTTAGAGCACTCGCCTCACAAGTGAGAGACTTGGGTTCAATTCCCGGCCAGGGCAAAATGTTGGGCAAGTTTCCTTACTCCCCATGACCATGTTTATCCAGCAGTAAATAGGAACCTGGTTGTTAATCAATTGGTTTTTCCAGGGATAATAATCCTTAAAAAAACAATAATAATTTGGTCACTCAATTGGCTGCTGCGTTTCGCCCACAAATATACAGTCAATTCATTTTACAGTATATGTGAAGCGCTTTGAGTCGTCTCGAAGACATGATAAGGTGCTATATCAAATGCAAGGATTATATTATTAAACAGCCACCGCTGATGTGTCCGGCTTAACCAGCTCCCCTTGTAATTATGAAAAAAACAGGGATTTCTTGCAAAGGCAAACTACACGGTTTCAGCTGGTTACACTCCAGCAGTGTCCACCGCACCCTCTGTAGTCCCCTAAGCCTTGGCTCTTGCCAACCGGCGTCAAAATTCTCTCCAGAATTCGGGCAGCAGAATTAATTGTTTTTATTTTTAAAAAGTAATAATAATAATTTGGTCACTTAATCCACAACTGTTTGTGGGACACTGCAGTGTGCAATTGCTGCCGCGTTTCACCCACAATATATACAATTTAATTTACTTTATACTATATTCTGTGAAGCGCTTTGAATTGTCTCTAAGACGTGATAAGGTGCTCAATATCAAATGCGAGGATTATTATTATTATTATTGCTGTAATTACTGTGTGATTATTACAGACAGAGACTGACCTAGTCCTGCTTCACCCTCCAGGGAGACCATTTGGAATGAGCGCCTCCGTTTCCTGGAGGAGCGAGTCCTGAATAACTGGACCTCGTTTACAATCTGGAACGCGGGGAAACAAGGCAGGAAGCTGTACAGATACTTGTCAGCCACCAATCAACAAAAGGTGAGTCAGGGCAACACTGTGGCTGCCTAGAGATTAATATCACTCATGAACAAAGTGACCTGGATCAGCAGTGGAAAAGGCTCCTAACTTCAGGCTCTCTGGGTGGTGGCGATTTCAATTCCGATCATTTCCTGACTCACAAATCCAGCTATCTCCATTCATGATCAAAATCCATCCCAATTTTTCACTTGAAAAACCAAGGATTATATTTATTATTATCAATAATAATAATAATAACCACACTTGCTGCCTGCAACATTTTCCTGGTGCAATGTGGCGCATGTTGAGGACCCTCAAAGGTAACGTATTATTCACTCCACCTTCTGAAAGTGAGACCCTGACCCCTAGTTGTAGACCTGAATTATACTGAATTGGGTCGCAGTGTCCAGGTTGTTTCAGAGTAATAATGTGATAATGTAATAATGTGATACCTTGACTCAGTAGTAACGCTCTCGCCTCAGAGTCAGGAGGTTGTGGGTTCAAACCCCACATCAGGACATGGAATCACATGGTCTAAACTGACGTTCCAGTGCAGTGCTGGGGGGGTGCTGCATTGTCGGAGATGCTGTCCTTCAGATGAGACATTAAACCATATTAAAAAGGGAGTTTCTCTCTCCCAGTATCCTGGCCAACAAAAGCCCCAAATAAGGCCCCAAAGGTCACTCGTTCCATGGCTGTTTGTGGGACATTGCTGTGCTGCCACATTTCGCACACAAAATACACAGTCATTCCACTTTGCAGTATATCCTGTGAAGCATTTTAACACATCTTGATGACATGATAAGGCACTATTATTAAATGCAAGGATTATTATTATAATAGTAATAATACTTTGATTTGGTACAGCGCCTTTCACAACGACAGCATGTTTCAAAGCCCTTCACAGGTTACACTCAGTGAATGTGGCTGCGTCCTTTGATGGTCACTTTTGCAGTGTAATCATGTCCTCTGCAATCTGTCCTCAGACCCCAGATATCCAAGGATTCATTTGAGGGTGAAAGTAACTTTTTTTTCTCGAAAGGCATTTTCCGCTCTTTGGAAATGGATCCCAAAGGGCAGTGTTCCGGGCAGTGTGGCTGCCTTTGGGGCGCACTTTCAAAGAGCCCAGACTCGCATCAAAATCACAAAGCACCTTCCAGCGAATCTGACCATCAGTCATCTCTCCTGCAGCCAGTCTTGGGCTTGGGCTGCACTAGGCAGTAATAATATTAACAATAATCCTTGCATTTGATATAGCGCCTTGTCACATCGTGGAGACAACAACAACAAGATTTCATTTATAGAGCGCCTTTCACGTCGGGAGGACGTCTCAAGGCGCTGGACAGTTGGGTCAGGACCCGAGCAGGGGGGAAATGGTCAGGGTGAGGGGAGGGAAGGGAGGGAGCGAGGAAGGGGTAGAGAGTCGAGAGGGGAGCTGAAGGCACGGTCGAAGCAAAAGGTCTTGAGACCGGCCTTGAAGGAGGAAAGGGAGGAAGCGGCGAAGGCACTGGGGGATGGAGTTCCAGAGCCTCGGGGCTGAGAGGCTGAAGGCCCGGCCACCGATGGTAGGGCGGTTGGGGCGGGGGATGTGGAGCAGACCGGAGCCAGAGGAACGGAGGGTACGGGCAGGTAGGTAGGGGGATAGTAGGTCGGAGAGGTAGGAGGGAGCAAGGCCGTGAATGGCCTTGTAGGTGAGGATGAGGATCTTGAATTCGATCCTCTGGGGGATGGGGAGCAGTGGAGGCGAGCGAGGGCGAGGGTGGGAGTGATGTGGTCGCGAAGCCTGGTGCGGGACAGTACACGAGCTGCAGAGTTCTGAATGACCTGCAGTGTGGAGGGAGGTGCCGGGAAGGCCGGCGAGGAGAGAGTTCCCATAGTCCAGCCTTGAGGTGATAAAGGCGTGGACCAGGGTTTCAGCAGCGTGAGGGGTGAGGTAGTGCCGTAGTCTGGCGATGTTCCGGAGGTGATGGAAGGCGGTGCCAGTTGTGGTGCGGATATGAGGAAGAAAGGACAGCTCAGGGTCGAACAGAACCCCGAGGTTCCTGATGGCTTTGAGAGGTGGAGAGTGCAGCCTTGGATGCTGATGGTGTCAGCGCCTGAGGTGCGGAGGCGCTGACGGAGCCAATCAGGAGGGCCTCAGTTTTGCGCACGTTGAGCTGAAGAAAGTTGTCTCTCGTCCAGGACTCGATGTCGGACAGACAGCTGTCAGGACATCGGTGGTCGTGGAGTTGAGGGTAGAGGAGGAAAGGTAGAGTTGGGTGTCATCCGCATACATGTGGAAGTTAACCCCATGTCTGCGGATGATGTCACCACAGGGGGAGCATATAGAGGGTGAAGAGGAGGGGACCGAGGACAGAGCCCTGAGGGACACCACACGAGACAGTGCGGGGGGTGGAGGAAAAGCCGTTTGTGGAAACAAAATGAAGACGGTGGGAGAGGTACGACCTAAACCACTCAAGGACAGGGCCTTGAAGATTGAGGTGGGAGGACAAGCGGTGGAGGAGGATAGTGTGGTCGACCGTATCGAATGCGGCCAATAGGTCGAGGAGGACGAGGAGGCAGAGGGAGCCCTGGTCGCAGATGGTCAAGATGTCATTCGTCACCTTGACCAGGGCAGTTTCTGTGCTATGGGCAGCACGGAAACCTGACTGAAGGGGTTCGAATAATGAATGGGTGGAGAGGAAAGAGCGCAGCTGGGAGGCGACGTCTCAAAGCGCTTAACAGAATATACTGTAAAGTGAATTGACTGTATATTTTGGGGGCAAAACGCAGCAGCCAATTGCTCACAGCAACGTCCCACAAATAGTTATGGATTGAAGTGATCAATTTATTATTTTTTGTTTGAAGGTATTATAACCCCAGGAAAAGTGATGCGCCAATCGACTAACAGCCGGGTTCTTACTGCTAGGTAAACAGAGGCATGTGGAGTATGGAAATTTGCCCAACTAAGCGCCCCACCCTGGAATCGAACCCAGGTCCTCTCACTTGTGAGGCGAGCGCTCTAACCACTGAGCTACAAGACTCCGTAATGTCTGTATTCCTTGGAGGAGCCAAATAGAAAGCCTAGTTACTGGCTCTGAAATCCAATACTTGGAAAATTTGAAACTACACAAATCCCAGGATTAGCTCCTTTCGATTCAGTTAGCATTATAAACCCGAATCCTTCACAAGTATACACATCTGTCGTGCTGAAGACCGTGGAATATATATTAAAAAAATTGGTCACTCAATCCAAAGGCTGGGGGCAGTTGGCTGCTACGTTTCGCCCACAAAAATATACTTTACAACATATTCTGTGACGCTCTTTGAGGCATCTCAACAGGGTGATAAAACACAATATCAAATTCAAGAATTATTATTAATAAATATATTAAAGCTACAAACCATCGAACAATGGGCGAGAAGGTTTGGGGGTTCAAGCTTGAACTGGTTTGTCAGGGATACCGTTCTTTGATTGAGACAATGCAAACCAAGTCCACTGCTCAGTTGGTTATTAAAGATCTCATGATAGTATTCTCAAAGAGAAGAGACTTTCCTCCCAGTGTCCTGGCCAGCAATCTTCCAGGTTAATTGGTTATGCACATAATGGCTTTTGCTGTTTGCAAAAGGGCTGCTGTGTTTGCCTTTAACAGTGTTCCCTACGGTTCACTTGGGAAGCCTTAAGACATTTGAAGGTGACAGAGTGCTATAAGAATGCAAGTTCATTCTCTTCTCAGTCTGCGCCAGGCAGCCTGGAATGTGCAATCAGTGCCAATGCCCTGGTGTAATGTCCAGCTGTGTAAAATGCTGTGCATCAAGTTACAACAGAGAGAGTAAAAAAACACACTTCATAAATAATCGGGGGTGACAGAGGTGCAGAAGTTTTAAATGCTTTATTCAGCAGCCACAGTGTATGCATGGTCTGGCCAGACAGGCCCTTGTGTTTCTGACACCCAGACTCTCCTCGGTTTGACTGCCACACGTACAGTAATGTTGGGCTGTGTCAAAAACACGCAATTCCCCAGTGATCCATTGGAGGCGCCGTTCAGCAGTCTTGTCAGTCTGGCTCAACCAATAGCACTTACACGTCTGGGTCAAAGATTACAGGTCCATGTGCTACGCCATTATTGCTTTGACCTCCCAGCCCAGCCTGGCACTTCAGCACAGTGACCTGGGAGTGCCGTGTGCTCAGAGGTACCGTCCTTGCCATGAGACATTGAACAAAAGGCTGTGGATGTTGATCCATTCACATCCTCAAGACTGAGGTAGATAGCGATTTGTTAAGTCAGGGTATTAAGGGCTATGGGGCACGGGCGGGTAATTAGCCATGGGGTACAGATCAGCCATGATCATATAGAACGGAGGAACAAGCTTGAGGGGCTGAATGATCTCCTCCTGTTCCTATGTTTCGATGTTTCTAAATGTCCAGTGGGTTTTGAAGCTCCTCGAAGAGGGACATTGTCCCTGGCTGAATGCAGAGCGGAGCCGGGTTAGATTCTGACCCACGTGTGCAGCCTGGAGCAGGGGAATCATAGCGCTCCTGAAACCCTCTCTCCCCCTCCCCCCACCTTCCCTCCTCCAGGGGCTGTGGGGAATCTTAATGCAAAAACACGGCCCATGCCCAACAGTCAAGCCTGGGTTGGGGGTGTGTGTGTGTGGGTTGGGACGAGGGGTATAGCTGAAGAAGCTGGGTGGAGAGGGAAGGTGACCGAAAGCACGGCTAAACAGGCAAGTCTTAAGACGCGCTTTAAAAATGGGAGGGCGGGGGTGAGGGAACTGTGAGATGGAGTCCCAGAAAGGCAAAAGGGTAGAAAGGATGAAAGCTTGTCCATTGATGGTGGGGCAGATTGGACAGGCTGCGGGGAGGGGTGGGAGTGGGGGGTGTAGGTATGAGACATGAAGCCAGTGTTCGCTAAGCGGTGAGCAAGGCTGGGCTGGTAGAGTTGCAGGAGGTGACAGAGATGGGGATGGGGTGACCAGTGAATGAAAACAGCGCAAGGTTTGCAGGTAGCAGCTGGCTGGTTGACGCTGATCTTCTTTACCTCTCACAGGTCGTGTGTTTCTGTGATGTGGACGAGGCAAAGATCAAGAAACGGTTCTACACCTACCAGCAATCGAAGGTTCGATCTCCTCTGTAATAAACAATGCATTTTCAGTCTCACCTTTCTCACTCCCAAAAGTACATTTCCCATCAAGAATTAAGTGTGCGTATTATTTATAGAGTGATTTCATAGGAGCAGGAGGAGGCCATTCAGCCCATCGAGCCTGTGTTTCCTGCTTAATGGAACATGGTGCATATTTTAATCCCATTCACCGCCTCTGCTCTATATCCCTTCATTCCCAAAGTGTCCGTCTGTCTGTCTTACTTCCCAACGTCGCAGCTGAATCCACGGCTGTGGATAACACATCCTCACAACAACAGCGACAACAACAACTTGCATTTATACAGCGCCCTTCACACCGGACACCCTGTGTATATAACAACCCTCTGCGTCAAAGTATATTCCCTGATCTCCTCGTTTAGCTCTTATTTTGAAAGTTTGCCCAACTTGTTTCAGGTCACTGCTGTGCAACTTGTCAATTCTCTTTGCTGTTTTAAACACCCCTTTAACCTTCCCTAACAGTGTTAGTGTCATGTGTATGTTTGTGTGACACTCTCGACTTCAAGTCAGAAGCTTGTGGATTCAAGGCCCCACGTCGGAACGTGGAACTCATATAGTCTGGGCTGACATTCAGTAATGGGGGTTTGCTGCACTGTTGGAGGTTCTGGATGAGATGTTAAACGAGGAGCCTGTTTAGGTGGGCTTTAAAGATCCCCTGATGCTGGTCGAAAAGAGAAGGAAGTTTCACTTTACAGTATTAATAATAATAATCTTTGCATTTGTTTATAGGGTCTTAGCATGTCGTTGAGATGTCTCGAAGCGCTTCACAGAATATAACGCAAAGTGGATTGACTGTGTATCTTGTGAAGCACTTTGAAATATCTTCCCAAAGTGAAGGGCATTCTATCAAATGTATTATTTATAGAGCTGTTCGACGCTCAATCCTGGACTTATCCCATATTCCCATATCATGCTCATAACTGCTGCTGTTTGTTACAGGAAAAGCCCAAACCTACAATTCCCATCAAGCATTTCACAGACGCCAGCCCCCCATTCATCATCTGTGTGAAGCTGGTGAGTGAGATACAATTGTTTTCGTAGTTACTTAACAAACGTTCACCATAGTTGTGTATGTGGGGTGTGTGGTGGGGGGAGTAGGGAGTGGGGGGGGGGGGGGGAGAGGAGAAAATGCGGTGTGTCATATAATAACAACAACAACAAATTAGATTTACACAGCGCCGTTCACAGGGACGTCCCAAGGCGCTTGGCAGTCAAGCATTTGGATCCGAGTTGGGATTAGGAGGAGTGGAGGGCAGGGAGGGTAGAGGGTAGAGGGTGGCCGAAGGCACAGTCAAGGAGGCGGGTCCTGAGACGTGACTTAAAGGAGGCATTTCTCTCTACACCACCCCAGTAACACACCTCCTAAATAATAGTCTGAAATAGATCATCTCTCCCTGTCTGCCTGTTCAGGTGGAAGTTTATGATCCTGTGGCACTACTTGAAAAGAGAAGGGACTTTCTCCTGGTTTCCTGGTCAACAATTCCCCTGATTAGATTGGCCGTTTACTTCATACCTGTTCTGGTACGTTGCTGTGCACAGATTGGCCGCCGTATTCATCCGTGAATACTCAGTAACAACATTTTGCAGTTAGTATATCCTGTGAAGCGCTTTGAGACATTTTCCTGACATGAAAGGCGCTAAGTCAAATGCACGGATAATTATTAGTAGCAGCCATTTTGTTTCAGCTCTCGATTGTATCATCTTGTGAGGTGCAGTTCCCGACATCAAACCAGGGCCGATTTAACAATTAATTCAACACTTGCCGAGGATCCTGCAAACATCCCACTTGGTTATTGGGAACGCCATTTACTGATACTCCTGGAGAACATCTACGTTCAGAGCAGACCTAAATCTGCATTTCAGAGCTTTAGTGGAGTCCTTTAGATCTCCCTGCTTCCTCCCCCTCCCCACCCCGAGCCTCAGCTCGGGTCCGTAACTCTGTCTGTCCAGCGCCTTGGGACGTCCTCCCGACGTGAAAGGCACTATACAAATGTAATTTTGTTGTTGTTGTTGTCCTGTAGCTGAGTGGTTACAGCACTCGCCTCGCAAGCAAGAAGCGCTTTGAGATGTCTTGAAGACATGATAAGACACTGTGTCAAATGCAAAGGTTATTAATATAATATTATTAATATAAGATTATATAATATAATTATTAATATAATTAATAATCAGCCAGTGAGAGTTCTTTTGAACCAGAGGACTGAGATGCACCCAAAGCTATATATGGCGTCTGAGTCAATGTCTGCCACAAAATGGGATCTCCCTTTATAATCATTTATTTCCAAAGATACTACATCTAACCCAACACATTTCAGCTCAAAAATGCCTTAGAATTGAAGCTTTAATGGTGGGCAGGAAAGAAAAAAATGTCCCATTTTATCAATTAAAAGGTTTCCTTTATTGTGCACATTAAACATAAAAGCTTAAAGGTGGGGGGGGGAGAGTCTGAGCCAAAATATAGAAACTTTTTTTTAATAAAGATTGAAATACGACTCCCCAAGAAACCAATGCAGTTTCTGTTGATCAGCAACAGGAAGGTATTAAACACCCGGCCACACATTGAGTTAAGTTGTGATGTTTGCACAAAAATCAAGCGTCTCTTTCGAACTCGAGGGGGCAACTGTTTATCTGTGCACACGTGGAGCGGAACCACAATCAGGGCCCCAAACAGAGCAGGAAAGGATTGGAATTGGTTCCAGTCTGAACAGGAAACCATTGTTTGATTGATCTAAAGTGACCAGATGTGGCAAACGTACGCAGAAATTGATTGCATCTGTCAATAACTAAGCTGCTTCATCGCCGTCTAATTAAAGCCTTTAAAGAAGTGCCGTGAACTTGATTCCCGGGTTAATTTGAATTGCACAATCCAGCTGCTGTTCAGCACGGCCTCCCTTGACACGTCCTCGCTCATTTACACAATGGCGGGGCCAGCGAAGAAACAGCAGAGAAACAGCCTGGAGCTCAACAGCCACAGCGAGGAGTCACGATACTGCAGGTGTGCAGATAAAAGCCAGCTCCTGTCATTGAGGGTTTATTAGAGGGTTGGGCTGTGACCTGAAGTATCTAATGTGTCACCTTACTTTAACCAGCAGCGTGAGTGCCAAAGCCGAAGTGAGGAGATTAACACTGGGTTTATTGAAATCTTGTGGTTTAGCTGAACATTCTCAGCCCAGGTCCCTCAGCTCTGAATCAATTCAATCCTCTTTTGTTCCAGAAACTTTATAAAGTTCCAGTAGGAGATTAACAGCTGACACAAAAGGGTGTTGTGTGACAGGAGATAAAAAATAACAATAATCCTTGCGTTTGATACCGCGCCTTATCACGTCTTCGAGACGTCTCAAAGTGCTTCACAGAATAAATACACTGTGAAGTGAATTGACTATGTTTTGTGGGTGAAACGCGGCAGCCAACTGCGCAAAGCAGCGTCCCACAAACAGTCGTGGATTGAAGTGATCAAATTGTGATTGTTTTTTTTTCTTGAGGGATTACTATCAGGTGTGTGGAGTAGGGAAACTTGCCCAGGGTTTACGGTGCCAGGAATCGAACCCAGGTCCCTCGCTTGCGAGGCGAGTGCTGAGCTACATGACTCATCGATGGGTCTGCGCATGTGTGTGCAGTCTCGTTGAGATTTCAACTGCTTACGAAAACGTATCTGTCAGCCCCCTTTGCAAAAGGCCTCTGTGTTACTTTGGGACTCGGACACAGATGAACATTAATGAGCAAGATTCACAGACTCGTGCAAGACAGTAAACATTGCAGGTGTCTCCGAGTGGCAGCCCAGATCTTACAGAGTCCTGTAGCTCAGCGGTTAGAGCACTCGCTTTGCAAGTGAGAGACCTGAGTTCAATTCCAGGCAGAGGGCGAAACCTTGGGCAAGTTTCCTTACTCCACACAGAGCCTAATAATAATCCCTCCAAAACCAAACAATAATAAATTGGTCATTTTCAATCTACGACTGTTTGTGGGACATTGTTGTGCACAATTGGCTGCCGCGTTCGCCCACAAATATACAGTCAATTCACTTTACAGTGTGTTCTGTGAAGAGCTTTGGGACGTCCTCCCGACGTGAAAAGCGCTATATCAAATGCAAGGATTATTATTATTATTATTACTTAGAGAGTACTCAGGGTATGCACCTGGGCCGATCATTGGCGAATGAAGTTCAGTCATGATATGTTCAAGACGCTGCATTTAGGACGCAAAACATACCAGGCACGTGTACCTCATGTACAAGATTGCATCGTTGGGGAGGTTGACTCTCTTCTCCTCGTGTCTAAACAAGGGAAACAGGTGCAGAGCTCTGTTGCCAAACAAGTTGAGTTCAGATCCCGGACATCGTGTTTAACGCTGTAATAATAAATATCTTTACAATAATCCAAACATTTTATAAAGGGCCTCTCACATCCGTATGTTGTCTCAAAGCGTTTCACAGGATTTTTACTGTAAAGGATAGTTAGCGACTGGGTATAATGTGGGAGATGGTGCTCTGACCAAATCACACCTGGAGTACTGAGCACATCTGGTCATTGTGACGTAAAGAGACTCCTAGAGGCAAAGCACAGAAAAGCAAAGAGGCTGATCCCAAGAGTTAGAGGGAGGAGCTGTGAGGAAGGACTGGATCATCTCTGCTAAATCATACAAGAGAACAAAGGCCAGGTGCCCACGGGCACTTCACCCCAAGTTACCTTGTGGGTGAGTGCCATCTTACAAGGTATCACAGCTAAGCCCAATCCTCACCCACTCATTGTTTCATCAAAGAGATCATCTGGAGCAGAGCTGGCTTTACCCTCCATAGCCCATAGCGATAATCACTCCCGTACGAGGGGACAGGATGGATGCACCAAGAGCGTAAGAACTAGTTAGTGCAGTTCCACTGACTTGTGTCTAACGTCTTAGCCAAGTCAGCATAATGCCAGGCTCCTGTCTGACCGAGCGGAGACATTGCTTGTCAGGACAAGTCACTCTGGAAGGATGTGTGTGCATGTGTATCACTTCCTGGGGAGCTTCAATTCATGATAACATGAAGCATCGCAGAGCTACTGTTCAGCTACTTGACCTGTGAACTGGTTGGACAGTTTTTTGTGTAGTTTTGCCTTGTGAGCCCAGACGTGTTTACAAAGCTCTCACATTTCGGGATCTGCAAGGGCTGTGCATTGTGTTGTCAGCAACAGAGGCCATGCTGGTCACATTCTCACCTTTGGCTCAGAAGTTTGGAAGCTTGAGCTCTCCTCCCCCCCCCCCCCCCACCTGGAGGACTTGAGCTCACAGTATAGACACATGGTCTAGCCCAGTGCTGGGGGGAGAGCACGCTTTGTCAGGGGCGGTGTCTTTTGGGTGATTCTTTTAAGAAGCAGCAATATTTCTTCAGTCATAACAGACACCCCACCTCAAATCATTTGGACACCACCTATATCACTGCTCAGCAGGCAACCTTGTCCCCGTTTAGGTCTCCTGAAAAGTTACCCGACGTGAAGACTCTACATAAATCCAAGTTGTTGTCGTCGTGTCCCGTGCAGTTTAGCGATGTGCAAGATGTGCGGGAATACAGACATGTAACGTGATGTTTATGTGGACGCACGGAGCATGCGGTTTAGAGGCACGTACACCCGTGTAACGTGATGTTACAGGCGTGAACCGTGCATGTAACGTGTAAAGGCGAAGCTCGCTGGTGTGAAACGTGCCAACACGGCGTGCAGGGTAACGTTGACAGAAGTGTAACTGCATGAACATTAAGCAGATATGATTACTGTTTTACATTTTTCCTTGACTTAATGGATAATGTTCCAAACTCTTAATTATATATATATAGAGCGAGAGAGAGCTGTTACGACAGGTTTGACAAGGAGTTAGACAATGGTGAAAGACAGCCTGACGATTCCCCCTAATAGAGCCCCAGCATTATCTCTTTTTATGCAAATCCTGTCAAATAGTTGGAAGTTTGCTCTGGATCGCTCTTGCTGAAGCCAAATGTGTCCCTGGTTTATATTGTTAAAAATAACACTCCCCGTTCAACAATATCACGGAATCAATGCAAAGCACTTGAAAACTGAGATTTCCTGAGACAGTTAGCGAGTTGGAGTCTCGTTGGTAATCAAAACCAAGGATCAAATTCGCCCTCCCAACTTCCCCCCAAACCGCCACCCCCCCAGACTCCCTTCCCCCCACACCCGCTCCTCCACACACTCCCTCCCCCCACGCTCCTCAAACTCCCTCCCTCCCCCACACAACCCCCCCCCAAACCACCCCCACACCGCGTCCCCACACCCCTTCGCCCCAAACCCCCTTCCCTCCAAACACCCCCTCCACCGCACCCCTTCCCCATACCCGCTCCCCACACCCCTCCCCCACACACCCTCTCCCCACCCCCTCCCACCACAAGCCCTCCCCCCGAAACGCAGTGAGAATGAAGCTGATCCATAATCACAAGGGGGGTCTATTTCCTACAAACTACCAACCAGTTTTATTATTATTACATTTTAATTTGTCAAGTTTCAGGGTTTTCTGCTTTTCCAATTCTTTCTGAAAGAGAACCATTCAACACGGCCGTTCCTGGCAACGAGAACAGCCAAGAAGCAGCTTTACTGCTCATGTATGTGCAGTGTCTGGAGACTATCCTGGTTTGCTTTCCCCCCCCACGTCTTTCTCAACCACTGAGGATGGAACAAACGTTTGATCGAAATTGGCGCGGTGCCAAGTTTCGAGTTAGAGATTAAGACTGAGCAGATGATGGTGACTGGGTGGGATTGAGCTGGACATAATAATAATAATCCTTGCATTTGATACAGCTCCTGTACACTGTCAAGTGAATTGGCTGTATATTTGGTGGGCGAAATACAGCAGCTAATTGCACACAGCCGTGTCCCACAAATAGATATGAGTGGCCAAATTATTATTATTATTTTTTGGAGGGCTTCTCACCCCTGGACAGCGATCTGCCAATCAACTACAACTTATTTATTGCTGGGTAAACAGAGCATATGAAATAAGGAAATTTACCTAAGGTTTCGCCCTGACCCACCCGGGTCCTCTCGCTTGTGAAGGGAGCGCGCTAACCACTACGCTACGAGATTAAGCCCGAGTTGATGATGGTGACAGAGTAGGGTTGGAGGTGACATGTCTGCTGTTAATACTGATTCCTTTGGCAGGACATGACAGGAGGCGGGTTTGAAGAGAACTTGAATTCCCTGAACCTAAAGGAGGGAATAGACTACCATCACTTCAGCTGAGGACCTGCCTTCACCATGAGCTCCACGAGACGGGACGATTCTCATTGCTATGATTGCCGGGGACACTGAAGGATGATATAAACCTGAGAGCAGCAGTGCCTGGGAGTGCATTTCCAAATCACAGGGCAATTGATAAATAACCCGCTTGCATTTGGCGTAGCGTCTTTCACGACAGGAGGACGTCTCAAACCCCTTCGCAAGTAACTGTTGTGCATTTATTCGAGAGTGAACATCCACTTGAGCGGGTGCATGTGAATGTTACTCACAGAGTCTCAGGATTTCAGAAGGACCCTGAGGTGCGAATGAGAATTCCTTTCGGGACACACGTCATAGCAACCGCAGGATCTCCTCCCTGATACCGACACAGTGGACCTCGTTCGTTCAAGAGTTTGCCGATGCGTCCGACCAGTGCAATGTGTGTTTTTTTAACACGGCTGTTGGACTGAGGTGATCTGATCAGCGCTAACGTGGACTCAGCACATGTTGAGGTGTAAGATGCTGAAATCTGTTATCATCCTCGGGGTTGGGTTATCAATGTACATTACAAGAACAAGACTAGCAACAAAATTACACTTAAATTTATAAGGTGAACAAAGGGAAACTATTCCCACTGGCGGGTGGGTCGGTAACCCGAGGACATCGATTTAAAATAGTTGTTAAAAGAAACAGAGGGGAGGTGAGGAGAAATATTTTCACAGCGAGTTGTTGGGATCTGGAATGCATTGCCTGACAGAGTGGTGGGAACCGATTCAATAACAACCTTTAAGACAGACGTAGATAATTATTTGGGGAGGACAAGTTTGCAGGGCTATGGGGAGAGAGCGGGGGAGTGGGGTTGAATTGGAAGCTCTTTTCAAAGAGCGGCACAGACACGATGGGCTGAATGGCCTGCTCCTGTGCTGTATAATTCTATGATTGTATGATGAGCGCCTTTCATGCTGGAAGGACAACCCAAGGCACCAAAATACAGTGAACAGATGGAGGTAAGGATTTTTTGGGTTGACTTTCTCTCTCCTTTATCATCTTATGTAATAATAATAATAAACCCAGTGTTTGATACAGCGCCTCATCACGTCTTCGAGACGTCTCAAAGTGTTTCACAGATATACTGTAAAGTGAATTGACTATGTTTTGTGGGCAAAATGTGGCAGCCAAATGCGCACAGCAGCGTCCCACAAACAGTCGGGGATTGACTGACCAAATTATTATTATTCTTTATGGGATTATTAGCCCTGGAAAAGCAATCCGCCAATCGACTAACAACTGGGTTCCCACTTACTGCGTGTGGAGTAAGGAAACTTGTCCAATATTTCACGCTACCAGGAATTGAACTCAGGTCCTCTCAGTTGCAAGGCAAGTGCTTTAACCACTGAGCTATGTACCTCTATCAGGTGCTCTCTGAGACTCTTTTTCAAGACAGAAGAGTCTTAGTTTATCCAGTTTATGCTCAGGGTCATAGCCAATCCCTCTGAAACTGGGCATCATCCCTCTCTGCAGTGCTTCAAGGGCTTGTGTTGCCACTTTATGTAGCAGTGATCAGTCCATTAGTCATTGTCATCTGCCTAAACCACAGCACTGCTCAGCATAACTTCTAGGAATCAGGGATTTGGAAAAGTTTTATTCTTATTAATATTAATAATAATCCTTACTTTTGATTTAGTGCCTTTCATGTCAGGAGAACATCTCAAAACATTACACAGGGTTTCCTGTCAAGTGTAGTAACTGCCTGTCTTGTAGCAAAATTTGGGGGGCAAAATTACACTACAATAAATTCCTCTGGTTATTAAATTAGACGAAAGGAAACAAATCCGGACTAAAATAAATGTCTATGGAATAGTTTGCATAATGTGAAAAGGGTTTTGCAAGGTTCTAACATTCCGAGTAACTCCGTGTTCCTGTGCTATTTCACTGACTTATGTTCAATCAGCTACATTGGGCGTATGTTACTTTAAGCAAAATGTGATCAGACAAAACCTTCCACTCGAGAAGATTTGGAAAGATCAAGCGGCAAGAACAGTGTTAAAAGTAGTTGGTTGGCGTATAGGAGACTCCGGGTTCTTGTTTGAGCCTGCACAGCCTTCGGGCATTTGGATCAAATGTGACCAAACCCAAAGTCATGTGCAAGATCGTTGCTTGTAAGCTATTTCTTTCTGAGTATATCACTGAGTCAGGCCTTAGGAAAGTTGTACACGTCTCTGTCTCTGGTTCTGGTCTGCAGGTTTGGTGATTTACTGCGTATTGGTTTTGGAATCCCTTTTGATGAATTATTGACCATTATTCGGCAGATGGGTGGCCTAAGATTAATTGCTCGCAGTATTGGCCAACAGTGTCTTCGCTTACTGTCAACATTGAGTGCTGTAGATCTATAGAGATTCTGTTTGTCATTTTCCTTTGGTATGGAGTGTTAAATCATCATTATAGATGCTTGAGCACAGCTTTGACGTGATGTGGATTGAGCAGTTCAGAAAATAAATGAGCGTATCACTCCTCCGACAGTGTGTGAACTGCCCTTGTGCAGATTTTCAGGATAAGTGACCTCTTTTTGGTCAGCTTTTATTTATATTTACTGCCACCCCTCGGAGACTCCAGCCTCACCCTTATTGGTGCTCTTGTCTCCTTCACCGCTGCTTTCTGAATTCTCTCCCTGCCGACACGATGGCACCAAACGTCAGTTGGAGGTATCGCCCTCCCTGAAATCTGCGACTGGCAGGAATATCGGAAGTGACTAGTCCGAAAATCAATCACAAGTTTGCAGTTGTAACAGCCTGGCTCAGCTGCTCACACTCGCCTCTGCGAGAGATGATCATAATAATCCTTGCATTTGATATAACACCTTATCACATGTTCGAGACGTCTCAAAGCACTTTACAGAATATGCTGTAAAGTCAATTGACTGTATATTTTGTGGGTGAAAAGCAGCAGCCAATTGCGCACAGCAGCGTCCCAAAAATAGTCGTCGATTGAGTGACTAAATTATTTTTTTTTGAAGGAATTATTACCCCCGGAAAAGCGATCCACCAATCGACTAACAACTGGTTTTCTACTTGCTTCTGGGAAACAGAGGCGTGCGGAGAATAAGAAACTTGCCCGATGTTTCGCCCGGCCCAGGAATCAAACCCAGATCCTCTCGCTTACGAGGCGAGTGCTCTAACCACTGAACTACAGGTCTCCAATGTGGATTTCAGTCCCACATCAGCACCTTGAGTTCATAGTCTAAGATGGCAATTCAATACAGTGTTACATTGTAGGAGGCATTGTATCTCTGTCTGAGATATTAGACCACCTTCTCGTCTACCTGTCTAAGTTGGACGTTAAAGATCCCATTGGCACTTTTTGAAGACAGTAGGGAGATTGTCCTGGTCAGCAATCCCCAGATTTACAAAATGGCCTTTCACTTCACGGCTGTGTAAAATTGTCTTCCGTGTTCAGAGGAAGAATGTGTTGGGCCATTTGATCTCATCCTGACACAATACCCACCCCTACCATCCTCCTATTCCAGCATCAAAACTGTGTCTTAAATTAGTCCCAGAACGTTGGCTCGAGCAGCTTTTTCTGGTAACAAGATCCAGTTGCTTTAACAATAAAAACTTCCATGTATACTCAGCACCTTTCACGTGAAAATAAATGACTTGAAGCATCTTAACAGGGAAATGAGACGGTAACCACATTCCATACCCAACAATGAAGTGAGTAGCCAATTAATCTAATTTCCCCTGTGTGTAAGGCAACTTCCTGATGTCTTTTCTGTTTATTATTGAGAAAGTTAAACCCTGAATAATATTTTGAGATGATTGTCTCTCGCAGGCCGACACAACTGTAAACTTGTGATCCATCTCGACTAGACACTTCCGATATTCCTGCCGGCTGCCAATTTCAGCGACACGTCCAGTTGGCGTTTAGTGTTGAGTAGCCTTTTTTTTCAGCGCCTTGGGACGTCCTCCTGACGTGAAAGGCGCAGTATAAATGTAATTTGTTCTTCTTGTTCTTAAACCTATTCTTCACCTATTCCTGTTGTATCTCAAAATATTATCTCAATAATAAAAAAAATCCTTGCATTTGACACAACACATGAAAGGGCATCTCAAAGCACTTCACAGGATTCATTGCGAATCAGATTGCGAATTGATTTTTTTCATTTCATAGGAAATTATTGCACAACAATTTCGTGCAGCCATGAAGTGAATCAAAAATTTTATTTGAGGGATTGTTGGCCAGGACACCAGGAGAAAATTCCCTTCTCGTTTTGAATAGTGCCAGAGGATTTTTAAAGTCCATTTGAACAGGCCTCGGTACCTCCAACAGAGCTGCACTGCACTGCATTGGGGCGTCAGCCTTGATTGTATGAATCAAAAGTCCTTCAACCTACAACTTTCTGACTCGGAGGTGAGAAGGCTATTGACTGAGCCAGGCTGACAATCCCATTTAGCATATTACTGTATATCCAGAACTTCCAGATGCTTAAGCCAGAGAAGGGTGAATTATTTTGAAGAGGAACTGATACTGACCTAATCTTAGGCTTCCCACGAGGTTGCAATCTTACTTTCTTCCGCCGTGAGTATTGACTGCTGTTTTTTCCTTTACGCCATCAGCATGGTGTATCTTCCCGGAGTCAGGTTATGAAAGCCATCGTGACTCACACAATACTATTGTGGATGGAGTATGGTGAAGAAATAGCGTGAAGGGATTTCGAAACAGTGTTCCTAATCATCAAAGTTTGAACCATTTCATCGATTCTAACCTGACCGGGGAGAGCTTGATCATTGAGACACAGCCCAACGGTGGACAAAGATTCCAGTATTGCTGCTCCCAGACACTGGCATCTCAATAACCAGGGAAAACGCACGATAGAAAACCACATGAACAAATCTGATAAGCAGAGGTACATGTACTGAACAGAGCCGGGATTAGCATCTGCTATATAAGCTTTGCACAATGCAAATGTGGCTCAAGTGGGTCTTCCCTCCCTCAACACTTACACTTTGTTGGAAGAGTTGACGGAAATTTTTATACACTGTAAAGAATCAATCTCTCGTTCAACACACTCACAACGACAACAACTTGCACTTATATAGCGCCCTCCACCCAGGGTAGCGTCTCAGAGCATTTAACAGTGGCAGAGGGGGGAAGTGGCCGTAAGCACGGTTGAAGAGGAAGGTTTTCAGGCGGGATTTAAAAAAGAGGAGAGAGGGGGCAAGATGGAGGGATTAAGGGAGAGTCTTACAGAGTTTCTGGGGGTTTCGGCTGAAAGCGTGACCTCCGATGGCGAGGCGGAGCGAGCGAGGGACAAGCAGGAGCCGAGGCAAGTCGAGCGGAGGCGCCGGGTGGTGGAACGGGGAGTGAGGAGGTCGGAGAAGTAGGGAGGTCCCAGAGGGTGAAGGGATTTGGATATGAGTGTGAAGATCTTGAAGTCGAGGATCTTTTCCTGCAGAAAAGAATGGTGGTGAATGGAAAATATACACGAGTAAGTGAATTTGGTTGTCATGCGGGTGAGGGAATACAGGATTCAGATCGAGGACTGATCAAATCATTGACACTGAATTGAACACTTGAAATTGACCCATCTTTGCGAAGAGAGTTATTTATGCAGAACGTATCAGCCCCTCATCCCAGACTGAAATAACAATAAC